GCCAAAACGACTACCGCAGCAGCGCGGGTTTAGGGTTTAGGGTTGTTTAGGTGATGGTTCAGGGTTCGACAAACCGCGCACAGCGAGAGAAAGTCGGGACCCTGTGAAGACGAAGAAGTAATGATAACCGCCCCCCAACTCTCCCCGAAGGACTTGAGGTTTAGGGTTGAGTTTCTCGGGTTTAGAGTTTTTCCCCCAATTAGAACATTGTACAGGTTCTGAACATCTATTATCTGGGGCGGTGGGGGGGGCTGCTATAAACCGCAGGGGATTGATTGCTTCTCCCTCTGAGATCCTGCGCAATTGAGCTATCGGCAAAATTCAAAGGTTGAAATTGTCCTCCAAAATTAAACCCTTCGTTTTTGGATTACACCCTTTGTTTTGCAGTGTTTTAGATGAAGTTTGGGGCCTTCGTTTTTGGGCTACCCCTTCGTTTTAGAGGGTTTTGGCACGAGATAACCCGAACGCTATTGCTTGAGGTGCAGAATTTTGCCTGTTACTCAATTACAGTAAGGTTTTGTGCTATACGATCTTCTAATATCTGCGTACGGCTCTAAAAGAAATTCTATTGGTAAGTATGCAGGCTTGTACACGCGGATTGTATCTATTGGATCAAGAGCTGCCGTGCATTTCTTTTCTGGGTTTCACGCTTTTTGCTTAGGTAATACAGGAATACGAGAAATGACCCTATAGGAACCAGGTCCTAAACCCCAAAACCTCCAAACAAACCCTAAACCCTAAGCCCTAAACTCTAAACCCTAAACTCTTAGATCCCAAACCCTACCCCATGTCTCAATCAGCTTCGAAAGCTTCCTCACCATGTAACACGTTATAACCGCAGCTTCCATCTTAATCTTGATTCTTGGTACAAGCCCTACGTATCCCCGATAGCCCCTGTAAAGGCGCCGCAATGTTGGCAAAATCATCACGCCCTCCGAGACATAAAGCCCCCATGCCCTGATAATGAATATCCCTCCAGCTTCTCGTTTCAGCGAGAAGGGGTTCGTCCCCAGAAGTAAGGCGTTTTGTTCCCCTCAAACCTTTAATTTTCCCTGGTGCCCTGTAACCCCTAAACCCTAACCACTAAACCCTATATGCCCCTTTGAAGGCATAGTATTGGGAGCGGGAGCTCTGTTCACCCTCTATAACCCCTTGACAGGAACCGGATATTCGTAATTCTTCTCAATCTCCGAAGCCCTACACCCTAATTCCTATGCAACCCAGCAACGGGTTTAGGGTTTAAGGCCCCAGCAACTCCCATATAATCCTAAAACCCTAAACCAAAACTCTATACAACCCCAACACCCTATGCAACCCCTATATGCTCCTAAACCCTAAACCCTATACAACCCCTAAATGCTCCTAAACCCTATACAACCCCTATATACTCCTAAACCCCATCCCCGTTTAAAAAAAGGTCCCTAATTCCGACCCAGGGAGCCTCCGAAGCCTCCTCTGGGGCCTCTTCACTCCGCAGAGCCGCTTCCGCGAAAGTTGCCTCCTCGCGGGCGGGGACGCCTCGGAGAGGTTGAAGGGTTTAGGGGTTGAAGGGGTTTGGGGTTTAGGGATTGGAGGGTGTAATAGGGGCTTAAGGAGTTGAGAGTTTAGGGTTCGGGGCTTAGGGTTTAGGGCTTTAGGGGGTTGGGGGTGGATGGCTTAGGGTTTAAAGCTTGGGGTTGGGGTTTGGAGCTTTCAGTTTCGAGGTTCGGGTGTAGGGCTTCGGGGTTTGGGGTGTTTAGGGTGTTAGCGTGCCCTTATCTGGGTGGCTGTTGAGGAGCTCAATTTAAGCAACCACCATATGGGTGCATGGTAAATACAACCTAGATTAAGTTCCTCCACAGCAATCCAGTCGTTCTTTTCGCGGTGGTGGAGGGGTGGAGTTAGTTGTGTTCTCTTGTCATTTTCATGGGGGGGCAACCAGGGGCTTAGAGTTTGGGCCTTTAAGTTTAGGATGACGGTGTGCGTTTCTCGGCGGTTGGCTTGGAGGAAATCTGTGTTTCTAGGATCTTTTTACAGAAGAGGTGGCTTCAAGGTAATGCTGGGGATATCAAACCTAAAGGGTCCAAGTGGTAAATCTCGCGAGAGGTGTCGGCTCAACACCAAACAGTCGCTAACTTCTGAATGCGGGCCTTGAGTGCCCAGAAAGCCAACCGACCGCACTTTTGAGTGAAGATGGAATATCGACACCCTCAGAACCAAAAACGATATATCTACACTAGTTCACACAAACCACCAGCTAACTTTGTTGTGCCTTTTCCTTGTTGGTAGAGATTTTCTGGAAAGGTAGGAAGAAGTTAGCGGTCAAAAGTTCATCACCAGGTGTTCAACTTTTGCTCGCACACTTTTGTGGTACGTTGCTCTTACTGCTAGAGAATTTCTGGAAAGGCCAACAAACTTTGGCGACCAATAGTTCAACACCGGGTGTTGATTTTTTGGTCGCTAACTTTCGTTGTGTGCTTTCCTTGTTGGCAGAGACTTTGGAAAGGCCAAAATGTTAGCAAGCAAAAGTTCAACACCGGGTGTCGAACCTTTTTCGCTACCTTTTTTGTGTTTGATCCTTCTTGGGAAGTAAAGAATACCTGGAAAGGCCAACAAAATTGGCGACCAAAAAGCTGAACACCGGGTGTTGCACTTTTGGTCGCTAACTTTTGTTGAGCGGTAGAGAAATTTCAGACAAGGCCAAAAAACTTAGCCACCCAAAAATTCAACACCGGGTGTTGAACTTGTGGTTGATCTTTTCTTTGTTGGTCTCAAATATCTGCAAACGCCAACGAAACTTGTCGACCAACAGTTCAACACCGGGTGTTGGTTTTTGGGGTCGCTAACTCGTTGGTGTTGTCGCCAAGTTTCGTTGGCCTTTCCAGAAATTTTCGACCAACAAGGAAACGGCACAAAGGAGTTAGCGATCAAAAGTGCAACGCCTGGTGTTGAACTTTCTAGAAATTCTCTACCAATAAGGAAAACGCGCGAAAAAAATAGCGACCAAAAGTGGTCGCTAACTTCTTCCTACCTTTCCAGAAAATCTCTACCAACAAAGAAAAGGCACAACAAAGTTAGCTGGTGGTTTGTGTGAACTAGTGTAGATATATCGTTTTTGGTTCTGAGGGTGTCGATATTCCATCTTCACTCAAAAGTGCGGTCGGTTGGCTTTCTGGGCACTTAAGGCCTACACTCAAAAGTTAGCGACTTTGTGGTGATGAACTTTTGCCTCAAACCAGGGGCCGCGAAATTTACCAGGTCCAAGCACCCAAAGGATGGGGCTTTGGGGTCCCAAATACCATTCAGACTATGGTCTTTAGGTAAAAATCTCATTATTTGGGCTAGTTGGACCCTCAGGGGAAGAGAATGCTGCATCAACCGAGCTAAAGTTTAACCTCCTAGTATCCCCCTTGATAACCCCCATAGTAGTCCCCTATGAAATCCCCTACATAACCCCCTTCAACGAGTTTAGATTATGGCTCATCTAGGCTCTGAATCCCTTGGGATCTCAGTTGTCCCACAAAGAGACCACCCTAAATAGTAGTTTCCATGATATTTTCTATTATCCCAATATAACCCCAAGATAAGTCCCACAATGCAAAAAGACCACCCTGATATTTTCCATTATCCCAATATATAACCCCAAGATAACCCTAATATGAACCCGGCCCATTTTTGTCGACCATCCTCTCCGGTTGAAGTCCTGGATTTGCACCGGTGAAAGCTACGCAAGCTCATTTTTTGTAGCGCAACTTGGTCCAGGGGCATGTCTACGGCGCCGAAATGCCAAAAGACGAGTAGGCTCAAGAACGCAAATTCGCCAAAGCTTTAAGTTCTATCGTGCCTGCACCGGCTGCAGACCACCTCCCTATCTCTCCTTTGTACCAGAGATGTCCTCACCTAAAACCCTAAGCGGCAGACACCCCAAATCGTTAACCGTTAACCCTAGCCCTTGACATCCTTTCCGACCTTCAAAAGACGCAAACATTAAAATCCTTGTGGGCGGGACTCTGAAGCACGCAAAGCTGTGCTACACCCTGCACCATACCGGTTACCTTGAACCCCAAAAGCATTCGACCCCCTAATCCTCAAACCCGCAAACACCCCAAATCGTTAACCCTAGCCCTTGACATCCTGGCCGGCCTTCAAAAGGACGCAAACATGAAATTCCTTGTGGGCGGGACTCTGAAGCCCGCAAAGCTCTGCTACACCCTGCACCATACCGCTTACCCTGAACCCCAAAACCATTCGACCCCTAAACCTCAAACCTTAAACTTCAAAACCCAAGACCTACCAGACTCCTAAGCCCCAAAACCTCAGTCCAAACCCAAAAACCCGAACCCTAACCGCCTAACACCGCAGCCCCAAGTTTTGGGCACGGGGGATGGTAATCGCCAACTACCCACGAGTTTTAGCCCCAGAAGCACTTCTGCGCGCCATATGGACCTACCTAGCCCCCCAGATACCATTAAATGGGGGCTGTTTGGTCTATTGCAGGATGTGGGCTCAACACGATGCTGTTGATGGATGAAAACTTGCACCACCCTTAGTCACCTGAATCCTAGAAATTACAGTAGCATAGGCGACTCTAGGTGGTGGAAGATTTGCTCCATCAACAAACCCTGAATCGTGCATCCCAAGCCCTAAACCCTATGGCAGGAACGATGGAGAGCCTGCATCTTCGAGTGCCCTCACAACGGATGCGACCCTGTCCGCTGATGATGGGCCTTCACATGGCTGAGCGCCCAGAGCTCGAATGGAAGAAACGTCTGAAACCCCTGTGGCAGAAAAGGACTCAGGCTATGGGGTGGGTACTTTTTCTGCAAGAAAGTACGACTCGCAATGCGGAACTGCTTGCCTGATCAGATTAGGGTTGTCAATCTACCCGGCCAGCCCAATACTCTTAATGCAGGAATGTAACGTAAGTGCTACCAGGATCCCATATACATAGACAGATAGACAAATGGATAAGGACCAAAGGAGACAGAGAGAGAGCGAGAGAGAGAGAGAGATATATATATATGTTTATCTATATATATATATGTGTGTGTGTATGACTATATGTAGAATAAAGAAGCAGGTACAAACCTTCACTACGAAGCCCAAGGGTAACCACTCATGCTGGGGATATAGTCCTACCCTACAGCTGGCCCCTATGTAGGTCACCCCAATCAGCAGTAGAGTCATAGCCCATTTATACATAGATAAAGAGAACCGTGAACCTCCTAGCACAGCACTAGTAATGCAAGGATCACAACTTTCCCGATTCCCACATGGCGAACAAAGGTTTTATGGACAAACATGTTCGCAACAATCCGAACAATAAACCCTAAACAGTAAGCCCTGAAACCTGATTCTTTCACAACAATCCTGGCGGTTTCAAGGTTATGTCTGCAGGCAGTACGTGTCCAGGGAGGGTTTCAGACTAGATCTTATATACTAGCTTCCATGAGAATAGGCGCAGTCAACATTGGCCCATTCCCATGAAGTCCTTTAAACCCTAAGCCCTAAACCCTAAACTAAGTCTCGTAGAAACCAGACTAAACTCTAAAAACTAAAGCCGGAGCAACTTGCCCGCACTCCAGAAGAGCTTTACAGAGCCGCAAAGGAAGCAAAAAAACAGCCGAACATGATATACAGAAGACCTTTCGGTTTGAATGTAAGCGCCTAATTAATAAACGCCCTCCCCTTGATAGGGGTTATAATAGAGATCCTGATATTAAGGCCCTTAAGAGGAAGGGGTTTATGAATCAAAGGTCTACATTTGGGTTTAGGATCCAAGCCCAAGACTCGACCTCCATCACGCCAGAGTCAAGACCCTCCAACAACCTTGAATCAAACCCAACTACCCACAACCAGGGACGCTATAGGACGCTATAGTCCCCTTTAAGTAGATAGAATGATCGTGGGGTATATGAGTATCTTATTAGAATATAATATACCCCAAAGCCATAGTCTATCTACTTAAGGGGGACTATATTCCATTCAAGGCTATCTGGAGGGTCAAGGCAGAAGCATCGGCCTTTGTGGGGCGTTTGGCCCCGTGCCGCGGCAGCTGCCACGAGGACTTTTCGTGCAACGGCGCGCTGTTGGGGACTCATGTCCTGCAGTCCGAAACTCTAGGCTGCTACTGAACTGAATTCAAGTTACCCTATTCTGGGCATGTAGTACATAACGGGCTTCATTTATCATAGTTATTTTATCTAAATCCTGAATTGCAAGCCTAAACCCTAGCAAATTAAGTTGATGGAGTTTCCCTATTATAGCACCCTCTAAGTTCTACATACCCCTTATTACTATAGCAACTTAGTTTAAGCTCCTTATCTAGACCCTCCGCCTACCCTCTGTTAAGGCCTAAGTACCTACTAGGTTCAGGGCTCAAGCTTTGACATCCCAGAGCTACCCAGCCCTCCCAAGCACTTGTAATTCATCATGGTAGTAGGTTTTAGGGTTTTAAGGTTTAGGGGTTTAGGATTTAGGGTTTAAGGGTTTAGGGTCAAGATTTAGGGCCAGTGTTGTTTAAGGTTTAGGGGTTTAGGGTTTAAAGGCCATGCTTAAAGGCTTTTTCCTGTGGTGCGACCATGCTTTGGGAATGCGACAAGAGTAGTGCCCCCCAACATTCTACTTGTAGGCTATACACATTTGAGGGTTTAGGGTTTAGGGTGTAGGGTTTCAGGTTTTTAATATCTCCCCCCCCGCTGGATGAGGCTCCTGTACATGACTGAACTTGCGCTAGCTGCCAAGGCTTGAGGTTTAGGGTCTATCCCCAATCCTCATAGATATCGTAGTTTCCATGTTCTTTTCCATAATCCCTTCCCTGCTAACCAGGGGTACCCTAAACCCGTGTTCATTTGATGTTCCTTGTTCTTTTCCCTTCGCCTCTCCTTTATGGGCGAGTATGTCCCTTACGTCCCTAAGCCATATATTCCCTACATGCCCCTTTAAAGGAACCTAGGGCCTAGGGTTTCCATGTTATTTCCATTGTTTTTTCCACTTGATTCGCCATTATTGAGGAAAGATGCCTATGCATCAACATACAACATAAGCCCCTCAGTATATTAACTTCACTGCCTGCGCTCAAGAGAGCCTGGGCGCACGACTTGGGGGTTGCGTTTTTTGGTTGGTGTTTAGGGTAGCGGGGTTTGGCGTAGTGATGGGGAGGGCTTAGGGTTTTTGGGGATAGACCTGGTTACTAAACAGGGCAGACAGCACGAAAGCGCCACATCTAACATGAAGCTATCTGCAGGCGCTAATGTTATGGCGTCCCATTGCCCTCCCAAAATATCTTACAGTAATGGTAATCGACAATGAGCATGTTTTATATTAGGGAGTCGGGTAGTTTTAGTATGGGAGGATGTTAGGGGGGGATTATTCAAGAACTACGCGGCGATAATACGTGTCCAAGGCGAGAAGCTTTGCAGGGATCATGTCGTTGAGAAACTCCATAAGCAGCCCATAGGACAGCTTCTGCCCATCAGAGACTCACCATAACAAGTCACTATGTCACCACTTCAGAAGCTGTACATGAAAGTTTTAACCATTGCACTATCCAGATCCTGACGCTCGCTGAACTTTGATACCTTAAACCCTCAAGCCTGAACTGTAAACCCTAAGCCCTGAGCCCATCCAATCATTAAGTGCCGAAGCTCTCTCGAAGGAATTCCGTTGTTGGTTTTTTTCTGAAAATGTGTAATGGGATGAGGTCTGCGTTGCGGCTCCCTTGTGTATGGACATTACCATCCACAAGCCCTCAACCCTAAACTCCGGAACCTAGACCCTAAACCCTAGACCCCAAATCCCAGAAAGTGGAGGTAGAGTCACCCTAATTTGGCCCAGGGCCCATAATGGAGGATCCTAAACCCTAGACCCTATAAACCCACTCAAGGCAGTTACTAGCAAAGCAACCCATGTACCACCTGTGCAGCCTTGGATAAACTCTCCTGCCACGGGGAACTCCCCTCCGGTAGCTGCTCCTGATCCCTAAATGCCATAAACCCTACACCCTATAAGCCCTCCAAAGCATACACCCCAAACCATTCCTAAGCCCTAAACCCTAGACCCCTTCAACGCGGTTTAGGGTTTCGGGCCTAAAACTCAAAGACCCTAAACTCCAACCTCCAAACCTCTTGGGACCCCTAGGCTCCTGCCATCGGAATTTCATTGCAGCAGTAGCTTCGCTACTGAAACCCGCAGCCCGCGCTGCCCAGCTCAAGGAGAGAAGGTCCCCTCGTTCCCAAAAGATTTAGGGTTCGGGTTTAGGGTTTGGGGTTTAGGGTTTGTTCGGAGTGTAGGTCTTACGGAGCCGGTACCCCCTAATGAACAAACAGGGCTCAGAGTTTGCAGCGCATACCCTTAATTCAGGAACAGGCTTTACATGATGCTAGGATCCTGCGTAGGATTTAAGCAATTTCCACACTTGAAGGGTGTTTGGTCCCTTGGCTCAGGCCTAGGCCTCATTCTGTATACAATGAAGGGCTCATAACGGTTTCAACTTCAGCTTACGGTCTCAGATTCAGCGATCAGGGCTCAGGGTGCCTGGTGCGCGGCATAGGGTCCGGGGCCAACTCTCCAGGACGCGGTTTTGGGTCAAAGGCGAGCTCACTGGGACCCTACCTTGGGACCCTACCTGTGGCTCCCTTTACCTCCAGCTTTAGGGGCCCTACCCACTAAATAGGGGGTAGTTGCTGTCAAGCTGTAGGTAAATGGAGCCACAGGTAAGAGAGCTTCTGTGTGTGTGATTAAATCTAGATTTGCGGAGCTACATCTCGGCATCAAGGGTTCCAGGTCTGGGGCGTGCACCTGTGGAACTTGCATCCAGAAGGGCCAAGTAAGCATCAATTGAATGCTTGGGGTTCTGGTCCAAGAAATTGTAGCGCAGGTTTGCAGGGAATAGATGATTATCTGGTACTTGCACGGGGTAAACCCTACACTCCTGTACCCCCAAAATAGCAGTCAGAACGAAGAACTTGCGAAGCATCAGCTGCTACTCATTCCTTCCGGCCGAGGGGCGGAGGGTCGGGCGAGATTTCCCCCATGGACCGTATCAACCCCCCGACACCATTCTAAACCCTAACAAGCCATAAACCCTAGTAACCCTAAATCCTGAACCATTGCCGAACACACGTGGAGGGTTGTCAAACCTGTGGTCCTTTACATCCTTTTACAGAGTGCTTTGAACATATGGGTCACTTCGTCTTGGGACCTAACCACAGACCAAAAGGTTTAGCTCCAGAACTGATCCTATAGCTATGGATCCTACACTTTACGGGTTTAGGGTTTAGGGCCCTAACACCTACACAAGTTTGACAGCCAGGCCACGCACGACATCTTTCGGCAAGCCACCAGTGCCATTCATTAAGCGCCCCGGGCTTTCCTTTCTGGTGCCAAGGTGAGGGGCTTAAAGGTTTTGGAGTCGGGTGACGTTCTAGGATGGGGTTTAGGGTTTAGGGTTTCCTTGTGGCCCCGAAGAACTTAAAGTAGTAGTATTTGTAGACCTCGGACCCCTCAGTAGGTCTCAGTTATAGACTTGGCGCCCATGGGTCGGAGCAGCCCCTAGCCAAAGTCAAAACACCCAGACACTAGAATAGCGCTTGGGGTAAGGGTCTACGCATCTTTCAAGCGATGTTCTTCCCAAGTATTTAGGCTTCTACATATGAGCTCGCACCAAAACTCTGTTTTTCTTCCCCAAATGCGGCCGCAGATTAAGCGTACTGAACCAGTGATTGCCTTCCCAAGCTGTCCCTTTTCGTTAAACATCCCTTAAATAAATAAACCCCAAACCCTAAACACCAGACGATTGGCACAAAGCACCTTTAACTTTAACGTAACCTACTGGGGTGCCAACTGTCTACCTGGAATCGGATGTTCACGGTAAATATAACTCAATGACTTTCTATACTTATTACCAGTTGCTCCAAGCCCCCTAATCTGGTTATGACTGGGTCACACAGTCCAATTTCTAAAGTAGGGGCTTACAGAACAAGTATAGAACTCAAATATAGCTATAGATATACAACTATTACAGGGCAACCAAATAATTTCGGTTTCGACGTTCTCTTGCCTGCTCTTCAACCCCACTCAGAACCTCTTGTGCAACATGGGAGCGGGGATTATATGAGGGATTTTGGAAGGCTTCCTATGAGAGATTATGGAGGCCATATTTCCACTTAAGTAGGTAGAGGTCTGGAAGCTTCAGGGACCTCGGGCTATATAGTTCTTCGAGTACAGCGGACGGTACAAAGTCCCTGCCAGGACTATAACGCTGTACGGTTTTGAGTATGCTTGGGGTAGGTCTTGGCGCTGCCATTAGTCCAAGATTCTGCGTTGGCAGCTGCCAACGTCGCTTGCGCGACGATCGCCCTTTTCTCCTGGCTCCCAAAACTCTAGTCTTACTCATGTAAGGCTTAGCCTGCTTTCTTCTAGATGTGCACGTGAAGAAACACTACTGTTCTCGATAAAGCCCTAAGCCCTAACGTTAAGGGCATGCATATTATCCAGAGGGTCCACATATACAACCATTAGGGAATTGGGACCCACAATTCCCTCTATAGTATAATATTTTGGGGCCTAATTCCCTAATAGTTGTATATATGGACCCTCTGGGTTAGTTATGGCCTGCTTCTAGCTTGAATGTCCAACCTACACTTCCCTCGAAGGATTGCAATTGGCCCAACTGCATCCTTAAAGGTCTAGTTAACAATAAGCATATATATATATATACATATATATATGTATATATATATATATGGGGGGGGGG